TTCGTGGATGATAAGCTGAAGAAAAAGCAAGTTTTGTACTACTTAAACGGAAGAGTTCCCTCCAAAAATTGCTGTGAACACAACATCTCTGTCATATGTAATAGTTTTTAGAATGCCATGACGATGGACAATCTGTTTGTAGAAAATTTGGGCAACTCTTTGTGCAATGTACGGGTGAGCCAGTAGAGTAAAGTGTGCATACTTTGAGAATCTATCTACAACGATAAAAAGAACTGATTTTTCCCAGATCTTTAGTAACCCGTCAATAAAGTCCATTACAATATCTGCCCAAATTTGAGTGGGAAGGGCCAATGGCTGAAGTAACCTGATTGGACTCAGATTTTCAGTTTATAGCGTTGACAAATCGGGTAAGAAGATACATAGTCAGCAATGGTGAATTTCATTCATTTCCAGTAGAAATCAACTTTGATGCGATGTAGAGTGTTTTGAGTCCCTTCATGTGCACTATCATGATAACTAGACAAAATGAAAGCAATTAATGGAGAGGTTTACAACAAATAGATATTGTTTTTACAGAATCAACTCTTCCTATATAGCCAAAGTAGATTCCTTTTCTCCTTCCACAACTTGTGAGTATAGCTTTTGTAAGGAAGAATCAGTAGTGACTGCTTTGCGGACGACATCTAGAAGTAAAAATCGAGGGTGCCTAATGGTATTACAAATCATTTTGTCGTTGTCACGTCTGGACAGAGCATCTGGTTCCCGGTTTAAATAGCCAGGTTGGTATTCGACAGTGAAATCAAATTTTAAAAGTTTTCTAATCCAGTGTTGTTAACGAGAAGTAGTGATCCGTTGTTGTAATAAAAACTTTAAACTGTAATGATCAGTGCTGATAAGAAAGATTCTTCCCTACAAACACGGACGCCATTGTTGTAGTGCCTTGGCCAACCTGATCAGTATTCGTTCATATGCAGCCAGTTTATGATGTCGTTCAGCCCATTGGCGACTAAAAAATGCAATTGGGTGGTTGTTTTGTTGTATAACAGCACCTATACCACCTCCTGACGCATCACATTCTACCACAAACAACTGCTCAAAATAAGGAAATTGTAGGACTGGAACAACAGCTAATGCATACTTTAATTTATCAAAGGAAAGCTCAACTGCTTCTTTCCAACGATTAGAATTTCATCGTAATTTACTAGTCAATGGGGCCGCCAACTGTCCAAACTCTTGAACTTGTGGTAATAACCGGCTAGCTTTAAGAATCATCACAAAGCAGTCACTAAGTAGGGGTTTTGGCCATTCGTTATAGTTTGAATTTTTGCAGGGTCCACTGTCACACCTGTAGCGGAAATAATATGCTTAAAATATACAACTTAGGTTTCCCTAAAGGTACATTTAGACTTCTTAAAGTATAGATGGTGAGCACTCGGCAATTCAAAATTGAAACGCAAGTGTAGCCAGTGATTTGCTCAAGAGTTGCTGTAAATTAAGATATCATCAAAGAAAAACAATATAAATTTGTGTAAGTGAGGACGAAATGCTTCATTCATAAATGTTTGGAATGTAAAAGGTGCATTGGACAAGGCGGAGGGCATAACCAAAAAATCGTAGTGCCTGTGATGTGTTTAAAAGGCTATTATTTCAATTGTCGAGTCATGCATCCTTACTTGATGTTATCTCGATTTCAAATCCAGTTTAGTGAAGTACTTGGACCCATGCAACTCATCGAGTAGCTCGCCTACTGCTAAAATAGGGAATTTGTCCTTAACTATGTTAATATTGAGCTCGTAGTAGTCCACATAAAACCGCCAAGTCCCGTCATGCTTTTTAACCAATAAAACCGGGGAGGAGAATGGGGACTTACTGGGTTTGATGATCCCCTGTTGAAGCATCTTAGCACATTATGTTTCAATTTCATCATTCTATAAATGTGGGTATCGATAAGGTCTAACTATTGTTGGTCCCGCTTCGGGTTGTAGACAGATTCAGTGGTCACAATTTCTAAAAGGTGGAAGGCCTGACGTTTCCTGGAACAAGTCATTAAACTCGGCTAGGAATTGCTCTAATTCCTCCGATGAGGATGGGTCCAATGATATGGTTAAGCTATCGGCCATTGTGGGGCTGTAGTCTTTGAAACATGATACTAATTTCACAGAACTTGAAACTCATTGTTAATGACACAAAATCCCAAAGGATGGGTCCAGGGTTTGTAATTGTATAATTGCTAAATCATATCAAATCCAACCAAATGAATGTCAAAAAAATCAACGGTAAGCTCATGATTATCAATTGAAAAGGTTACTACATTGCGAATTCCTGTTCTGTGGGCAGTTTCTCCATTTGCCACAGAGACGCTGGTTTCTATGTTGGGTTGAACTTTGATTCCGAAACTTCTTGCAGATCTTAAACTAATAAAATTGTTTGTACTCCCTGAATCTACCAGGCCCCGTAAATGATAATTGTGCAAGACAGCCTTCACTTACATTGTGCGTGCCCCTTTTTAACTTGTGACTGCGTGTAGAGAGATTTTTAATTCTCCTTCGACACTGATTGCCAGTTTCATTTCTTGTGAGTCTACCGATTCAAGCCAAAAAAGCTTCTTACATTGATAACCTGCAAAGTTTTCTTCATTGCAATTGTAGCACAGGCCATTTGCTCTTCGCTCTGCCATCTTTGCTCTTGATAATTTTTTGATAAATGGGGTGTTTTAAGACTTGACTTTTGTTGCTCCTCCACTAATAGCAATGGTTGTTCCTTTGGGTGATGAGGTTGCTGAGGAAAAC